GGTGAGGTGCATACAAGATATATGTGAGGGCCAGGTGTTTGGAGCACTGATTAAGATGTTGCTTGGGGGCCTCAGATGCCGGCATTTCGTGAGTGTTGTTCTAATCTCGGCTGCTCCACTTCCGATCCAGCTCCCTGCTGATGTGCCTGGGACAGCAATGGAAGATAGCCCCAGGGCTTGGGCCCCTGCACCCACATGGGGGACCTGGACAAAGCTCCTGACTCTTGGCTTTGGCCTGGTCCAGCCATTATGGCCATTGAGGAGTGAACCAGTGGAGAGAAGATCTCTCTCTGTCTCGTTCTCTCTCTCTGTAACTGTGCTTTTCAAATTAAAGTAAATCCTTTTTAAAAAATATTTTATTTGGGGCCAGCGCTGTGGTATACCGGGTGAAGCCACTGCCTGCAGTGCTGGCATCCCATATGGGCACCGGTTCAAGATCTGACTGCTCGACTTCCGATCCAGTCCTCTGCTATAGCCTGGGAAAGCAGTGGAAGACAGCCCAAGTCTTTGGGCCCCTGTACCCGCATGGAGACATAGAAGAAGCTGCTGTCTCCTGGCTTCGGATCGGCACAGCTCCAGCCATTGTGGCCATCTGGGGAATAAATCAGCGGATGGAAGATTCTCTCTCTCTCTCTCTCTCTGACTCCCTATAACTTTGCCTTTCAAATAAATAACTAAATCTTAAAAAAAAAAAAAAAAAAAAAAAAGATGCTGCTTGAAGGCCTGCATTGTATCACAGCAGGTATAACACTGGCATCCCATATGAGTGCCAGTTTGAGTCCCAGCTGCTCCACTTCCAAATAGGCTCTCTGCTAATTGCCCTGGGAAAGCAGCAGAGGATGGCCCACATGTTTGGGCCCCTGCCACCTGTGTAGGAGACCCATAAAAATAAAAAAGAAAGGTCTGGGCTCCTGGCTTGAGCCTGGCCTAGCCCCAGCCATTGCCCCCATTAGGGGAGTGAGCCAGAGGATGGAAGCTCAATATGTGCAAAAGCTGCTTCAGAGAATACAAACACAAAGATTTCTTTTAATTATTCATCATACTTTAAAAAATTAGTTCGGGTGCTGATGCTTGGTGGAGCAGTTATGTCGCTACTTGGGATGCCCGTGTCCCAAATCAGTGTTTGCTTTGAGTCTAGGCTACTCCATTTCCCATCCAGCTTCCTCCTAATATGTGACCTGGTAGGTAGTAAGTGATGACTCAAGTATTTGGTTCCGTGCCACCCACATGGGAGACCTGGATGGAATTCCTAGCTCCTGGCTTTAACCTGGCCCGGTGCTGGCTGTTGTGCGCATTTGGAGAGGAAACCAGCAAATGCAGGGTCTGTCTCTGTCTCCTTGCCTTTTAAATAAAACAAAAATAAGGAAATAAACGTGCCACCCACATGGGAGACCTGGATGGAATTCCTAGCTCCTGGCTTTAACCTGGCCCGGTGCTGGCTGTTGTGCGCATTTGGAGAGGAAACCAGCAAATGCAGGGTCTGTCTCTGTCTCCTTGCCTTTTAAATAAAACAAAAATAAGGAAATAAAAGCCACTTTGGAAAATGTCAAACATTTGCTCAAAGGGACAGACAAACACTCATGGACCTATAACCCAGCTTCAACAAGGATCAACCCCTGGTCAGTCTTATTTGATCTATGTCTCCACCCACTTTCCCCATCCCTTTGTTATTTTGAAGCCAGTCCCAGGTATATTGTCTTACATGTTTGACTTGCTCCCTCAGCCAATGGAAACATAATCCTCAGTGCTTCTTTCTGTCCCTCTTCCCTTTCCAGGGTGCTACTTCTCCTGTCTCCATCTTATACCTGGGACCTTAGCTCTCTCAACTCTCATCTTCCTACAGAGCCATCATGCCCGATGATAGGTCAGATTGTAAGCTGAGGGAGGTCTGGGACACATTTGCATTTTGTCAGGCCCCAGTATCTTCAGAGAAGAACGATGCTCTACAGGAGGACCCCTGCAAGGAGCAAGAGGTGCTGAGCCAATTAGAGCCCTCTAAGCCTTTGATATCAGGCAGGAGCCCCATAGGGACTGACTGGGCTCTTCGTGTTGGTGCGTTTCTCACAGGGACAGGGCACATAGAGCGGAGAACACTAGAGAAGGAGGTCCTCCCTCAGCAGGGGAACCAGACCTCTCCCCTCCCAACACATGGGCTCGCTGCTGTGATGCTGTGAGCCATGGGCGTGAGACTCAAGACTTTCTCCAAGTCCTTGTGCAGTGGACAGGATGCGGGCTTCAGAGCCTAAGAGACTGGATTCAAATTCTGCCTCCACTGCTCATGGGTTCCCTGTGCCTCTGTATGTCTTCCTCATCTATAAGCTGAGGGTGACAATACACACCTCACAGTTGCCAAAAGGGTTATTATGAGAGAAAGCTGTGTCTGCTGGGGTTCTTTTGATAGTAAGTGACAGTGAGGGGACTGATGTCGTAGCATGGGAGGTAAAGCCACTACCTGTGATGCTGGCATCTCACATGAGTTCTGCTCCACTTCTGAGCCAGCTCCCTGCTAATGCACCTGGGAAAGCAGCAGAGGGTCCAAGTACTTGAGCTCCTGCCACCTGTGTGGGAAACCCAGACGAAGCTCCTGGCTTTGGCATGGCCCAACTTTGGCATTTGAGGTCATTTGGGGAATGAATTGTGGATGGAAGATTCTCTCTCTCTCTCTCTCTCTCTCTCTTTCTCTCTCTCTCTCTCTCTCTCTCTCTCTCTCTCTGCCTAACTTTGCCTTTCAAATAAGTCTTTGAAAGAAAAATGCCTACAGCAGCTGGGACTCTGTCAAACCAAAACCAGGAGCCAGGAACTCCCATGTGGGTGGCAGGGATCCAAGTACTTGGGCCATCATCTGCTGCCTTCTGGGGCACATTGGCAGAAAGCTAGATTCAGGAGCAGAGCTGGGGCATGAATCCATGTACTCTGGTATGGAATGCGGGCATCCCAGCCAGGATCTTAACCACTATGCCAAATGCCTGCCTCTTGGCCCTTGGGTCTAGCTTTTGGTTTTTAGCTTTAGTCTTGGGTTAATGTAGCAACAAGATGACAGCATCAGTTCTAATCCATTTAGATCTCAAGTCTAGAGGGATTATCTTACTCAAGAATCCTAACAAAAGTCTCATTGACTTTGACTGGGTCATATGATTGACTTTGATTGGGTCACACTCACTCCATCTGCACAAAATGAGATGCATTTATTTATTATAGGCTGGTATCACTGGATCTGCAGGGACTGGGAGGGTGACGGAAAGGGTGGCTCATTAAGGGAACTGCAGGGGGGTTGGGCGTGGTTAATGTTATGCTTTGAATGTCTCCTCCAAAAGTCATGTGGAAATGTAATTGCTATTGTAACAGTATTAGGAGGTGGAACTTTGAAGAGGTGATGAGCATTATAGTGTAGTGGGTGAAGCCTCTGCTTAGGATGCCCTTGTTCCCTATCAGAGTGCCTTGAAGGAGTCTGCCACTGCTTCTGATCGAGCTCCCTGCTGATGTGCACCCCTGGAGGCAGCAGGTGATGGCTCAAGTGCTTGGGTTCCTACCACCCACATGGGAGACCCGGATGGTGTTCCTGGACACTAATTTCAGCCTGGCCTGGCCCTGGCTATTGTGAGCATTTAGGCAGTGAATCAGCTGGTGAAAGATTTCTAAGTCTCTATATCTCTCTGTTACTCTGTCTTTCAAATAAAAACAAACTTTTAAAAATGTGATACCATTAAAAAAAAAACTTTAATTTGAAAACAAAGGGGCGGGGTGATGCATTCTTGAGGCCTGTGCTCTTGTGAATGAATTCATGCCACTATTTGTAGGGTGGGTTAGTCATCAAGAAAGTGGGCTCCTTGCAGAAATAAAGTTTTGGCTGCATCTTCCTGTCTCGCATACGTTGACTTGCCCTCCCAACAGGCTGTGACATAGCATGGAGGCCATTGCCAGATGCCAACACCATGCTCTCAAACTTCCCAGCTTCCAGAACCATGAGCCAGGTAAACATCTATTGTTTATAAATTACCCAGTTTGTGGTATTCTGTTACAGCAGAAGAAAACCAACAAGTCGGTTATCAAAATAAAGGTGACAGTGGGTACTGTTGGCAAAACTGAAGCTCTTGCTATCAGTGCTTAGTAAGTCTTTGGGTACATTGTCGAAGCCTATAAAATGATAATCCCCTTTTCTGTCTCATGAGGCATTTTTTATTCCTATCTAATCAGATCCACATATTTGATCTCACTGAGTGTCACAATAGTCTTGTGAGACAAGCAGGAGTACAGGGATTACTTTCCTATTTCACAGATGGGGAAATTCAAGCACTGAGCTGGTTAAGACTGGGCCCATGGTCACACAGTGCGTAGTGGTACAGACTTTGCCTGCAGTCAGACAGAGACATGACTGGCTCAGAATTCCCTGGCAGTTCCTTGGGGGCTGGAAAGTTGGATTTACAGGGTATGGCGTAAGCAAGGTCTGACATGGAGTTTGGGTCAGTGGCCCGGTTGTGTTCTTGAGTAAACAGTTAGGACTAGTAGCAATCCAGTGAGTCAAGGACCCATTGTTGGGAACCTGGCAGGTGGCAAGGGAAAGAGCTAGTACATAGGCAAGACACTGGCACCCCAGAAGCAGCCTCTCATGACTAATTTCCTTTACACCAAGCTTCTGGGTACAAAACTTGGGTTTTCTTGTCCCAGAAAAAAAATTAAAAAGCTAATCCAAAAGAAAAAACAAACAAGCGAGGAGGGTAGGCAGTGCTGCTTTTAGAGCTGACGTCTCTCAAGAGAACCTATTTCATGGACCAAGAGCATCCTTTGCCAGAATGTGGAGAGAGAGTGTGGAATCCCCTGCTCAAATGGGGGTGTGGTTGAGATCTGCATAGAATCTTCCAGAAAAATAGCATCCCTCTTCGGTACCCAGATCTTGAAATACTGAGGAAGAAAGACAAAAGAACAGCAGAAAGCCAAAATACCACCTCCATTACTATGAAAACTAGCGAGGAAGCTGTAGGCCAGTGTGAGAACATGCTTACCTTCCCAGAGGAGCCAAGGAAAAGGCCGGAGCTGAGCAGATCCTTCCAGGGGGCTTCTGCAGTCACAAAAGTCATCCCACTGCCATGGACAGTGAGAGTCAAGACAAAACGCGTGTTTAGGGAAAATCCCTCCTTGGGGAAAGCAGAAGCGGGGAAACCATATGACCTGGCAAGTTCTTCCATCTGTCTGCCCACCAGTCCCTTTTTCAGTAAAATGGGGATAATAACAGTGCCTGCGTCACAAGGAAGCAGGGGAAGGACGCCCTGGGATCCTGTGGATGACTGTCCTGGCACACAGCAATCGCTCGGTTAAGCCTGGCTGTTCTTGTGTGCAGTCCAGGTTCGTGGCAGGTGGCCTCGCTCTCCTCTCCGGCACGAAGCCCAGGGCCACAGAGCCCTGCTGTGCTTGTGTTTCGCTCTTTCTCTCCAGCTGTAAAACTCCTTGAGAATGCGGGTGTGCAGTGACTTTCCAGTTTCTTGGCTGAGTTCCCAGGCTGTGTTCTCCCACTTTGGGGGCTAGGGGGATGGCAGACGTCCTTTCCACAGTGGTGAGGGCCACCCCACCCCAGCCCCCATGCTTCGTTCCAGCAGAGCCTGGCTCAAAGTTCAAAGCCGAGGTGGCTTTGTTGAGTAATTCGGTGACACTGCCTGCCCGCCTGCCATGGGAGGCCAAGTCTCACTCCCACACACCCATTTGCTGAGCATCTGTTGCCCTGTGTTTTGTGGCGTGGAGGCTGGGAACAGGCATGCCGCCCCAACTGACCGCGGTGGGGCCAAGCTTCCTTCCTCTCCCTGCTGCCCCTGGGCTCTCGGTCTCGCACATGGCCCCACTCAGTAGGTTTCAGATCCGCTCCCAGGCTGGTTGGCGCTGAGTGCATCTGGATTCACACCAGCCTCTTCCTCCTGGGGGTTCAGAGTGTTCTTGGAAGGAAGCCTAGGAAGGGAAAGGCCTTCCCCAGCACTCCCCTTCCAGGGGTTGGCTGACAGCATAGAACGGAGCTGCCAAGAACTCTGGAGTCAGACAGACCTGAGTTCAAATCCCTGAGTGACCTTGGGCAAGCTGCTCTCTCGGCTTCAGTTTCCTCATCTGTAAAAAATGTGACAGTAACAGGATCTGCCTCCTGGGATTATTGTGAGGCCTCTGTGAGATCCTAGCTGTGGCTCACGCATCCCCACATCTGGCAAGTGGGAAGTGCTTGAGAAATAGTCTCCTTTGACCACCAGTCTTCGAGCATCAGCTGGGGATCTCCAGCCTTCCCGTGGGTGTGTGCACAGGAAGGGGGAGAGTACCATCTCCTTCTACCCACCCCATCCCCCAAATCAGACCCCTATCCTAGCTACTCTGAAATGAACCAACTGATTTGGTTCTATGCAAATTCCTTTTGGGTAAGGACATTTTTTTTTTTTAAGATTTATTTATTTATTTGAAAGGCAGAGAGAGATATCTTCCAGCTACTGGTTCACTCCCCAAATGGCCACAATGACTGGAGTTGTACCAGGCTGAAAGTAGGAGCCTAGAATTCCAAGCACTGGGGGTGTCTTCCAGTGCTTTCCTGAGCACATTAGCAGGGAGCTGGATGGGAAGTGGAGCAGCCAGGACCTGTACCGGCACTCACATGGTATGTCAGTGTTGCAGGCAGCAGATAAACCCGCTACACAACACCGGCCCCTGGGTAAGGGCTTTGTCTCCTTTGTCTTACAACTCCCACGCCTGGCACTTAGATAGTGCTAAATGTTGGGAGTAAATGAGCACAGGAAAAGGAGCAAGGGAGTGCCCGGTACGTGTTCATGCACTGCTTTTGGAACTCTAGGCAGTTATTTCTGCCCCTTGCATTTCCTGTCCCTTCTTTCCTCTTTCCCTCTCCTCCCCTCCCTTCTTCCCTTCCTCCTTTCCTTCCTCCCATCTTTTCTCCCTCCCTCACTCCCTCCTTCCATCCTTTTTTTTTTCCTTTTCAGACCGTCCTTTCTCCTAAATGGAAGGCGCTTCCTTCTTGCCTTCTCTCGTAACATCCATGCTGCAAGTGCATCCCTTGAGAGCCCTTCACCCAGCCGAGAGCTGCGATTCCTCTTTCAAATTGAGTCTGTCCCCTGACTCATTCATTAAAATGCATAGGGCATGTGACCAAACTGCATAATGATCCTCTCATGAGGAAGGCTCTGAGGCAGGGAGATGCTGCCAACTGCAAGGCAAGTACTTCCCCCCAGCTGTGGATCAGGCTCATTGGCTGCTGTGCCCTGGGAAGGCTGGGGGCTGCCGTTCATCTCCAGTAAATCAGCCAAGCCCTGGAGAGCTGCAGCCTGGCGCTGGCTGGACAGTCTTGGAAGCTGTGTTGCCTCGGAAAGTCCAGCCCATGACCTTTCCTCAACCTTTCTCCACCCCCACTTCATTTAGCTTCTCATTTATTTAAGTATGAGGGTGCTTCAAAAAACTGGTAGAAAAATGTAGCTAAAAGATGCTTATTTTGGTGCAAAAATTTTTTAAATCCAGGCAGTGATTTTTTAGACTATGCGTTTTCCACTAGCTTTTTGAAGTACTCTCCTATATTTTTAACTGCATGTCTAAAAAATGGATACATTCTTTTAAAAACAAAACTAAACTAAAGGAAGCTGCCTTTGCTGACCCTTCAGTGCTGCTGTGCTTCCCAGAAACAAACAGTTGTTGTCATCGCCCCTGGATTTTCTGGAGTCCTTGGGCTACAACAAAGATTTGGAAGCCCAAACACCCTTTTGCCCCCTGAAGTCCCATTCCAGTTCTCAACAAGAGTCCACGTCCATCTTGGTTGCCTTCTCGTCTCCTTTTCTATCGAGCCCTTTGTCTACCCTGGGTAACCCCTCTTATACCCTATCAGGCACATCCTGTGAATCCCGTGTGGGAAATCCGAATTTTGAATTGCTGACTCCTGTGGGTTGGCACTGTGGTGCTGCGGGTTAAAGCCCTGGCCTGAAGCGCCGGCATCCCATATGGGCGCCGGTTCTAGTCCCAGCTGCTCCTCTTCTGATCCAGTTCTCTGCTATGGTCTGGGAAAACAGTAGAAGATGGCCCAAGTCCTTGGGCCCCTGCACCCACATGAGAGACGTGGAAGAGGCTCCTGGCTTCGGATCAGCTCAGCTCCAGCTGTTGCGACCATCTGGGGAGTGAACCAGCAGATGGGAGACCTCTCTCTCTGTCTCTACCCTTATCTTTAACTCTGTCTTTCAAATAAATAAAATAAATCTTAAAAAATAAATGAATTTCTGGCTCCTAGCTTTAGTTTGATTCAGCCTCTGGCCAGCACAGGCATTTGAGGAGTGAACCAGGGGATGGAAGCTCTCTGTTTCTATCTCTTTGCCTTTCAGATAAGTAAAATTATTTTTTTAATCAACATTCAAGAGAATTATAAAAAGTATTAGAGTCTTTAAAAGTGAAAAATATATCAAAATTCAGCAACTCTCATGGCTGCCTCTCAGGCACAAGGGCTGTCTATGGTCATTTCGAGGTGATAAGAACCCACTCATTCATATCACTTGGCTAACAACCTGTTCAGATAGCCGTATGGTGTGGGGGAACATCTCTAACATCTCTGAATCACAGGAACTCATCTACAGAATGGCAGTAATAACAGGACCTCCTTCATTGGGTGGTTGTGAAGCTTCAGTGGGTCTATTCCTGGCACATACTGTTAGTCATTGTCACCATCACCTTTACTCTTACTTGTAATAATGCAGCCCATTTATTCACGGTGCCCAATAATGAGCACTCTATGCCATGGACTGCCTTTGGTCCTGGGCACAGAGCAGTGAAGGAGTCATACAAGGCTCCTGTCTTCAAGGAGCTTATGTTCTGGTATGAAAGTACTACATCTTTCTGTCTGATGAGTGTTTTCCCCACTGAGGTTTTAGAGAATTAAAGGAGACAGCCTAGAAACTGAAAAAGGTGACACTTGATCTGGGGTCTCTCCGACTTCAGTTTTAGTACTCTCTCATGAGAGGAGCTGATGATTTTATAGTTGTTGGGAGCATGTAAGCCATTCCCTGAGCTCTGAGAACCCTGATCCACCAACCAGGGCACAAAAGAGAAGCAGGGATTGTCCCTGATGAGTGTCTGAGAGTCCCAGTTTGTTCTGTCCATGGAGTCCCATCAATCAAGTGAGACTAACAGTGTGGTTTTCTGCCTGGTGTCAGCATCAGGGGGTCTAGAGGTAACTTTTTTTTTTTTTTTAAAGATTTGTTTACTTGAAAGGCAGAGAGAGAGAGAGAGCACACGAGAGAGAGGGGGAGGGAAAGAAAGAGAATCTTTCATTCACTGGTTCACTCTCCAAATAGCTACAACAGCCAGAGCTGGGCCAGGCCAAAGCCAGGTCTCCCACAGAGGCTTCCAACTACTTGGGCTATCTTTTGCTGCATTCCCAGGCACATTAGCCGGAAGCTGGTTTGGAAGCAGAGCAGCTCAGACTCGAACCGTCACTCCTATATGGGACCAGCATCAGAAGTGGAGGCTTAAGTAGAAAATGCTTGCCCCAGCCAGTGGCTTGTGGGGCCTGGCCATGACAGGGAGCACCTCCCTTGTCTAAAAGTACTTTCCCCTGGGCTCCCCACAGAGCAGGAGAGAGTATGGCAAGGATTGTAGGCTCAGTAGCCAAGTGGCATGATCTCTGGGTGGTACCTGGATCTTCCACCCTGAGTGAGGTTCACTACACACACCTAGGATCACAGGTGGGGCAGGTCTGGTCCTGTTTGAGAATTCCACACATGGTAACTGAAAGTCTCTCCCAGGGCTGGTGGCAGGGGCAGGCCTGGCACAGACCAGGGAGAAAGGGCACTGAAGGCCAGCCACTGTTCAGAAAGGCCAATGACCTGAGTATGGCAGGGCCAGGGATGTTTCTGATCACATCACAGTGACATCTCACCCTTGCCCTCTGACCCCAGGGAGCAGTTTGGAACCTGCACAGTGGCTTGTGATGTGGGGGCAGGGTCACCTCCACTTTGTCCTCATGGAAGCACATGCACGCCTTTGCTTCCGCAATGTCTGGACCCTCTTCGTAAGTGCACTTCACACCAGTCCCAAGTGTAGGCTTTTGGTTTTTTGTACTGAATCCAAGTGTTTATTTCTTTGCTTATGATACAATGAACTCTCCTCAAATTCTTTCTTTGTGGTCTTCCCCTTCCATCACCTTGCCTCTTCCACCTCATCCTGAATCTTATATTTACCATTTCTTGGCTTTTCTAACAAATAATTTCATTTTGAATATTTTTCTAAAACGCAGATTGCTTAGATGTGTTGCTTTTTGCTTTCTTTCATTTTATTTTTTTAAAGATTATTTATTTGAAAGAGTTGCAGGGCTGGGCCAGGCTGAAGCCAGGAGCCAGGAGTTTCATTCTGGTCTCTCATACGGGTGCAGGGGCCCAAGCATGTGGGCCATCTTCTACTGCTTTCCCAGATGCATTTAGCAGGGAGCTGGATCAGAAGTGGAGCAGCTGAGACACCAGTTGGTGCCGATATGAGATGCCGTCACTGCAGGCAACGGCTTAAACCACTGTGTCACAGCGCTGGCCCTACTTTTTGCTTTCTTGAAAGATTAGCCTGTAGTATGTAGCCTTCTGAAATGTACTTTTTTCTCATACAATTCTATCCATACTGTAGCACATAGCTGTGGTCTGTTATTTTTTAGCACTTTATTGTAGATCTCTTACATTCCATGTATACTTATTTATTCTCCTGCCAGTGGACGTTTGGGTTGTGTTCAGCGTTCCACCACTTTGAACATCCTGGGCTGAACATTCTTACGTGTGTCTTCTGGAAAACAATGTTAGTTTGCCAACTTACTACCCCAGCAGCAGGAACCTCTTGTTGGTCTGTATTCTCTCGAACAGTTGGTATTATCAGACTTCTTAGTTTTTTCCAACTGGAAGGCTATTAAATGATATATCACAGTGGTGTCTTCATATTTATCAGTTTTATAATGATTGGTGGAGCAGCGAGGGACAACCCTACAAGGTGGGGTGTGAGGACTTAATGAAGGATTTTATGCT